TTATACACATAAGAATAAATTTTTTTAAACAAAGGGTTTTTTTTTTTTCATTTAACTAAAGAAAACTTTAAGGTGCCTTCCATATTATCAATGTTTTCTCGTGGACCTTTTAAAAAGAAACCAAACACCTGTATAACTTTTAAGTTCTGAAGCTGGACTGTTCAATTGGACTTAGTTCTTTTTTTTACTGTGCTGTATATTATGATGCATATGAGGAGAGAAACAGATTGATTTGTGTGTGTGTGTCTTTCAGTCTGCATCAATCAGTGGTGCAAATAAAAGGGATTGTTTGCTGTTTTTAGAAGCCTATTAAGCTCCTTTGAGGAGCTTAAGAAAGATAAACTGCATCTTAATGGGGATACAACTGCATCTTAATGGGGATACAACTGCATCTTAATGGGGATACAACTGCATCTTAATGGGGATACAACTGCATCTTAATGGGGATAAAAGGATGTAGTGTGAATAAATTAAGAACTTATTAAGTGAGTTGGGAAGTTTTTTATTAATGCAATAAAATTTGCACTGGTTTAGAGACTGTTTGAACTGTTGAAAAATGGCATCCATTTACTGTGCTTTGATTAACAAGTATTTCTGTATAATGTTTTTGTACATTTGACAAATGTTTAAAAGGGCACTCTTACGTATTCTGAATTTTGTATAGACATCCTAGACTAAGAAACAATTTAAATGTATTTCCCAAAATAAAATATGTATAAATCTTGTGTGAAATTTCTGTTCTTCAGCTTCTCTTTTGCCATTGGTGTTTATCTGCTTGACTGCCTTTTATCTTAAAATGCAAATACAGCCTCTAATTAGGCAAAGCATAGATACTTTTGACTGCCTGTCATAGCACCTCTGTGAATTGTCAGTGATGGGAAAGAGCTATAGTGGGGGAGGGTGGCAGAGGAAGAGAAAATACGGGATTTACCTGGGACAATTTGGTTAGTGAGGGAAGAGGCCACTGAGGCTGCATATGCAAGCTACAGGACTTGCAGAGGTGGGAAAAACGGAAAAACACGCTGAGGGAGGCAGAATCTGAGTGTCATGGATCCTGGCTTTAAGCTGACTGAGTTATTGGTCTCTGCTGACCTGGAAAAGTATCATTAAGTAAGCGGGTAGGTGGGAACAGGTTTGAGGCTGTGCTTGGCAGAATATTTGCTGTAGAGTTCTGTTTTTTCAGGGAAGATTTAACAAGAACGGGCCTGAGACAGACAGCGGTGGTAGTAAGAAGGCAGTAACCAAGGCTTGTGCTTGAGGAGTTCCTCAACAAGTGCAAACGCATTATTTGAGTTTGAAGCTGCAGGAAGGAGGAACGGTGTATGCCAGATTAGAAATCTGAGGGGCTGTGACTGTAGAGTGCAATAGGAGAAGGATCTGGCTTAAAGAAGCTCTGTTCCTTCACGTGTTCCAAGCTGCCATCAGAATGTTATTAGTGCTAGTTTCTTCCAGTTCTGAGGAACAAACTGGTAATACCTTCAAGGAGGAATACACCAAGAAGCACACCCTTGTGAAGCTGGAGCCTTGGGCAGATAGGAATTTGAGGAAGTTCAACAAAGGAAAATGCCAGGCTCTGCACCTGGGACAAATAACCCCATGCACCAGGACCAGGACAGGCCAATCACTGGGAGAGCAGCTTTGCAGAGAGAGAGTTAGGGGACCTGGTGGACAACAAGGTGACCATGAGCCAGCAACATGCCCTCCTGCCAAAGAAGGCCAACAGCCTCCTGTGCCATGTTAGGTGGAGCGTTGCCAGTAGGTGGAGAGAGGCGATCCCCCCTGCTCAGCCCTGAGGCTCAGCCCTAAGGCCACACACAGTATGCTGTGTCCAGTGCAGCGCTCGCCAGTACAAGGAAGACACAGAGCTGCACAACTGAGACCAGCAAAGGGTCACAAAGATTAAGAGTTAGGAACATCTGACATGAAGAGAGGGTGAGAGCTGGAATTGAAGAAGTGAGGACTCAGGAATCTTTTCCACATCTATAAGTAAGTATCTTATGAGGGACAGTAAAGAAGTCAGAGCCAGGCTCTCCTCTGTTGTGCATCTGCTCAGTGACAGGATGAGAGACAATGGGCACAAACTGGACATGCTCAAATCCTAGCTGGATGCAGCCTTGAGTAAACTGCTGTAATTGACCCTGCTCTGAGCAGGGGACCAGACAATCCCCAGAGCTGCCTGCCTGCCTCAGCAGTTCTGTGTGGATGGGTGGCTGCCAGAAACTGCAGGAAAGAAGAGTCAAAGCTGGTTACACCTAGTTACTAGAGAAGAACGCAAAGGGATGGTCCTTGAGTTCTTTTCAGGTATCTTAAGCCTTTTTTTTTAGTTTGACCTTTTATTCTCCCCTTTATTTTGTAGTTTTGTGACTATCAATCATCTCAATTCAGACCTTGCCGGGTACAACCTATTACAGCTATAGATACTTTGTTTCCTTGGGTTGTGGAGAAGTGAAATAACAGCCCTCTAGATTGTGTCCAGAGTCCCTGTTCCTCACACCGAAGCTTCAAGCAACCCAGCCAGCAGCATTCTAGGCTTTCTGAGAACTTTGCACTTGAAGAGCAGAGAGCTGCAGAAATTGCTGGTCAGTTCAAGGGAAAGTTGTTGCTCCCAGGGAACACTTCCTGTTTGTTATTTGTTTTGTAGCGCAGACTTTGAACTGCTGTTAGGGTTGTAACAGACACCCGAAGACGTCTGTGTACCTGTGTCTCAGACAACTACCTCATTAGTCTTTTTGAGCTGGGGTTGGAGATTTGGATCATACATGGCCTAAAATCATGGCGTACCTGCTTTGTTCCTACATTACAGCACACACTTAGTTTAAAAATCCAGGACTGGAGAAAGAAGCAGCAGAAGTCTTAAGATCCAAAGAAACAAATGGTGGAGGAAAGGTTCTTCTGTTACTGGGGATCAGGCTCAGTACATTATTTCCTAGCTCTGACAAGGCTATGCATTCTCATGGAGTTTGACAAGGGCCACAAGCACCCTGCTTACTTTTCCCCCAATTAATATATATATAGCTGAGATACTAATTTCAGTGGTTTGGGTAAGTATGAACACTGTTTGAAAGATGGAGGCTGATGGCCCTTCTGCCATCACAAAAATCAAGTCTCTTCTCATCAGGTTATGCAGTGCCATCCTCCTAAGAACAGAGACCCCTTTTCATGACAGGCTGAACTCAGTGGTCCATGAACTTGAGCAGAGCAGATGCCCTTTACTCATGTTGAATTAGCTGCTATTGGGGCATGAAACCACAGTGGTAGGGCGGTAGGCTAGAATGCTTAAGAAAGTAGCCACATATATTTCAGTTCTACAGAACATTAGGTCCTCAGCATTCTCAGTTCAGTCAGTTTTTTAATCTCATTCTTCCAAGATGACATCTTTTCCTTGACAATAACGTGCAAGTACAAGCTGTTTCTTGTCAACTATTTCACTATGTTAAAGATGTGGTATGAAATATGTTTTTGCCAGATAGTAGTAAGTCCTCATGTTTTCTCCATGTCACTTTTTGCAGCTAACACTGGAGTTTAAAGGTGTCTGTGTTAGTGGAAGTGTTTTAATTTTAGGAAAGTTTAGGTTTAACAGGGCCATCCGGTTACTTTAACTACACAGGAGAAAAAAGCTTCTTTTTTAGAACTTAAGCTGTAACAGAAACTGGCAGTACTGAACACAGTCTCCATAAAATATGCTGATATACCTAGTCCATCTCATGTACAATGGTTAGTAACCTTTAAAAATTCACCTCAGGAATTAAGATGGGCTCAGTAAAACAAACTTAGGACCACTGGCTCAACTATTATTGCTAACCAAATACTGTGATTTGTTTTGCCTTTTTGGGGTATGCAGTCAATGTCTTCAACACACTCATAGTTCTAAAACAGTCCGCAATTCTGGCTGAACACTCAAACTGAGACAATTTAAATGGCAATTTGGAACAACTGCTATTATAAATTTGTATTATAAAATAATTCCCTTAGCCTGAGACTTCTGCAGCATGAATACATGAAGTAGGAAATCCTCAGATGAGTATCCTTTCGCTCTAATCCAACCTAGAAGTTCAAGAACACTACTTGACCTTTCTAGGCCTGTCATCTATTGAAAGCAAGTCTCTTGTTCTGCACATTTTGTAGGACTCTGGGTTCCACATTCCAGGCACTCAAATGGTTTCAAACAAGTCAGGTGAGACCTTGGCCTAAGACCTTAGCTTTGCCATGCCCACAGGGAAATAAGGAAAAGCTTACACACTGATAGCTTTTAGAGTGGCAATAAAAACCATGTACTGAGGCTTTCACACTGAAAATATAAACACTTATGAGTGAGAACTGAGATGGATGCCGACTACTAGGTCAAGGGCACCATGAAACAGCCTGTTTAGCCACAACTCATTCTAACTCTAACACCTAACACATTCCTGCATCACAGCAGCATTCTCAACTTTATCCAGTAGTAGATCTGCATAAAGTACAATCTAAAAATACCATACATAAATGTAAAAACCTCGCAGCCTTGAAGTGAAATACAGACATCAAACCTTTTAATGTCTGGCTTACTCCTGGTCAGTCCTCAGTTCTCATTTCAGCAGGCAGGTGGCTGCAGTAGCAGATGCAGAGGTTGACAAAGGGTCAGCCTAGCAGCCTCTGGTATCAGCTATCAGCTGCCCTGTGATAAAAAAAAAAAAAAAAAAAAAAAACACTGAACAGAACCAAATGAATTCTACCATTCTACCCACTACTCCAGAAGATTAGCCTAAGTTTAGCTCCTCAATGGCAACATAGCGTTTTGCTCTTACAGGCAGATCTTGCTTATAAAGATCAACAGGTATGGGCAAAGATATAACTTGGAACTTTTCACTAAATGCATGAATATTTAGTCTTGATGCAGTTCTCCTTTTGACAACAAGTAATAATGATTCCAATTCTAGCTCGGTCTGTATGATGCAGTTTGGAGAAAGGACTGATTATTTTAAGAGATGATCAGTAACAATATGCACTGGAAAGCCTCACAGTGAAAGTTAGCCACAAAAAGGGTTTATTTTTATTATCATATACATCTTTACTTCTGACTCGACTCAGATTTAGATGTAGAAGCCCTCAATGAAGAAAGCCGGCGTCTCTTGGCAATCTGCTCCTGCCGTTTTTCCTTGGCCTCCTAAGGAGGAGAACAGCATGAAATCAGTAATGAGGTGTTGCAAACGATCAAGCATTTCCTTAAAAAGATCTACAAACACACTGGGTAAATGCAACTTCAAGGAAACTACCATGAAGAACGAATTTTTGTATCATTAAAGCAAAATCCTGCTTCCCTTCTTTCCAGAAGGAAAGAATTCTGCCGGTATCCAAAGCTATACAGACCCATTTATCTTCACACAATACTGAAGAGGGTCCAAAATTAGAGTAAAATACTGCTGCAGAGTTCAGAACATATAAAAGGTCTATTTGCTTTCAGTCAATGCCAGTCTGGAAGTCATGGAATATTAAAGGCCTGCGATGAATATTCTAAGAGCATTGTGTAAGCAGCCACTGCTGTTTTAGGTTCAAGCTCCAGCTCATGCACATGAGTAGCTTCTTGCCAAGTTATTTTCCATCCAGGTCAACTGCTGGATCCTGTTTCCCCAGAGTCTCTCAAATTCTTGGGCAAGAGGACTGTTGCACTAAAATTTCTACAGCAAGTCTGATTATCTTTACTGGCCAGTACTGTCATTTTCTCCAAAATCAGCCCTCAGAAAAATGGAGAAGGGGTTGAATTGGTCTGGTCCACAACTGTCAGGTCAGGATAATAATTCTTGTGAAAACGCTTTTGACTGGGCTTCTTATACTCACACTCCAACATTCCTAATGTCATATGAAACATACAGAATGTAGCTTTGAAATTAGCTAGGTGCAGTATACCTGTATGTGTACAGTCAAGTTCATCAAATCCTTTGATCCTACAGAGTAATATACCCCATACAGCTGACAGTGAGGGAACACAAACCTTCATTCTCTTGGCCAAGAGCTTGGCATATTCTGCTGCTTCCTCCTTATTCTTCTGAGTGCGCTGCTTCTTCAGAGCAATACGTCTGCGCTTATGTTGCAGAACTCGAGGAGTCACTAGTCGCTGGATCTTAGGAGCCTTGGTCCTGGGTTTCTTGCCTAAAGAAAATTATTAATCAGTAGAAGCAACAGATTGTTTTCTGAAAAGGTCTTAAGCACCTCTTAGCCATCTTAAGATGCTAAGTTCCATTTACTGTAAACAACAATGCTATTCACATACTATTATTATACTAACTTAAAACACACAGTTCAGCCTCTTAGCATATTTCACGAGAAAAAAAGCAATTGCTACTGAGAGATTTAACATCAATAAAACAAGTCGACACTGTTAAGACTACATATCAGCAACACAGCAATGAAGCAACACATCTCCAGCTCCCTAAAGTTCTGAAAAGAATTCCTTGCTTCCTAGCAGACCTATATTTAATCATTTCCCCTAGACCTGAGGTAGTTAAAGATGGAAAGCCACCACCTTGTTTTCAAGGAAAAATTGTTTCATTTTCACCTTTAAACTAAAGCCACGCAGACCATCACGAGCAAATTAAACATGCATACCTAACCTATAAAATTTCATTATTCAGCCCTATGTGACTGTAGCAGTCATAAGCAACACAACGCTGTCCACCAGGACTCCATGTTGTAAGAGACAGTATAGTTCCCACGACACAGAAGCTAAATTATCAACAAGCAGGTGTTTATCCAAGAACTTTCCACAGTGTCCAAGTACTATCATATTCTTTCCTCTAAAAACATTCTCATCTTCCCTGTCCCATCCGATCAAATCGAACAGAAAATCGAACTAAGATCTTCGATTGCAAGAAGAGACTGTAGGAAACAAAAAAAGTGACCTCCCAAGAAAAGCACATTTCAGACTGTCACAAGCATCTGGGAAAAAAGTCTTAACAGCCCCCAACCAACATTTTGCTTTCCCCCACCCCCTAATGCTGATGTTTCAAAAACATCCTACCTCAATCTAATTTTACTAAAAAATATTTTAGGACTATCTTCTAGAGCATCAGTAAACGTAACCAGATTCCACTAAGTTCTTAAAACATTTATTACCAAGAGATAGCAAGAAGGAAAGAGAAAGGACAGGGAAATGGGGGAAAACAGGCAAGAGTCCACTTCTTATCCACAACTTACAGCTGACAAGTTTTAAACCCTTAGGACAGTTAACTCCAGTAGTAGATTAAAGCGTTATCGGGCAGTGTCAGTCGTTCACTGCAGTAGGTTGGCCACCTTTCCCCTGATCAAGGACATAAGACCAGAAGAGTGTAAAATCTGATTCTTTACCCTCTTTGTTCAGAGGTTTCCTCACAACATACTGGCGGACATCATCTTCCTTAGAGAGATTGAACAGCTTGCGGATTCTGCTGGCTCTCTTGGGACCAAGACGACGAGGCACAGTTGTGTCTGTCAGTCCAGGAATATCCTTTTCACCTTTGAGAGAAGAAATTTTGCTATGTTAATTAAATTTACATCTACTATAAACACCTGTTTAAGTCACAATTTAACCTTAAAACGCGCAAAACCAAAAGATACGGACTAGTCTTCAGCACACACCCGCCAAAACTACCATCTCTTATTACACTTTGGTGACTTAACACAATCACATCGCTGGCAGTTGTCAAAGCACTTCAATTCTGAAATAGCCTACCTCTGAAATTTAAAATTAATAAACAGAATGCTCAGAAGGAATTCCAAGAAGCATCTAAATCCTAAAGTTCGGCCTGCATTATGCAATCTACAGAACTTCTCATCCATGAGCAAGCAAGCTCTTGCCAGAGGCAGATTTCTACCTAGTGATGGCTTCATGAAGATTCTTACCTTTCTTCACAATGACCAAGTTCAGAACACTCAAGTTGGCATCAACAATGCAACCACGAACGGATTTGCGTTTCCGCTCTCCAGTTCTTCTGGGGCGGTAGCACGAGTGGCCCTTACTGAGCAGAAGGCGGACACGTCCGTGAGTCAGGACACCTTGCTTCATGGGGAAGCCTTGTTTGTCATTGCCACCACTGATGCGGACAACATAGCCCTGTGAAAGCAGAGAAATACACTTCCTAGTTGTTCACACACCCTTACTGCTTCAAGGAGCAGTAACGGATATCGCAACACAGTGTTCAAAACAACTCTTTAGGCACTGTGACAGTGACTCAGGAAAAACTGCTGTTAGTGCAGACAGAGAGCAACTTCTCCTTTAACCCAAGCCATCCCAGTTGAGGAATTTTCTTGAACACAGGTGTGGAAAAAATACTTCCGCAAGTCAGGATCTACATTTATTCCACTTTTCTTCAAGTATATAATCAATACGGCCGAGCTTTTCTCTGCTTTAGCCCTAAACCTGACCAAAACCTGCTAGCATCACAAACTCAAAAGCTGCACACAACACTGCCAACTAACATTATGCTCTGGATTAGCACACTTGGGTAAAAAGGAAAAGCTAGGAAAGAAAAAAACATGTTTATGGGGATGGCAGCAGAAAGGTTGACTTAAGTTCTGTCAGGCTGTCCACATCAAGATTCAGCTATTCTAAACCCATCCACCATGCTTATGTTTCTCCATGCCCTAGTAGCAATTTAAGCACAAATGGAAGTAATTTTGAATTTGTTCAATACCAGAAGAATTAGGTTTGTCTTACGGTATAAGTTTAAGTTCTCTGTCCTGCATGCTTGACACCAGATCAAAAGCAAAGAGTCTACTGGAAATACAATAAAATAATCTAAACACATAGCTCACACACATACATATATATATATATAT